GAATCCTGCTGAGTTATTAGCTATACAAGTGTATTTCCCACTATCTTCCATGGTCACAGCTGGGACAGTCAGGATGTTGCTGATGACATAGTTATCATTTCCAAAGTCAGGCTTTTTAGTACTCTTGACCTGTCAGTCAGGGAGGGAGCATGAGGCACTTTCTTGGAAGGGCAAAGGATCAAACAGAATATTTATGAGAAACGTAACCACCCCCTCCTGTTCTGGTCTACTGAACTGCTGTCACTGAAAGCCATCTGTGTGGAGACTAAGAGGTCTATTTATTATATTAAGCCCAGGTGTTCAGGGCAGATATTCCACAGCAGTCAGTGTCATTGCCATTGCCAGCCTTCTGAGTTCAAGTTGGCTTTACATTGTGTTATCCAACATAACTTGTATGGTATTTCAACTCCTGAATAAAGGCATCAGATATAATAAGGACTTCTAGCAAACCATATCTACCTATCTAGCAGTTAAAAGTCAGCACAAGAGAGATTTTGAAATGCATTCCCTTTCTTCACCCATATCTTTTATCTGTGGAACTGTGTCCTGAACATGTTTGCTGCTTTATAAGCCCTGGCAGTGCTGAGTGGAGATACATTGCCTTGGTAGATACTGTGGCTCCTGCTCAATGAACTTGGGTGGAACAACATACTCTTCTCTCTGGCAGCAAGATCCTGACAATGGGCAGGTGTTTCTCAGCCCTGTGACATCCCAAGGAAAGGATGGCCATATTCAGATTTCAACATCTTGTTTGAATAGCTGCTTAGTTTGGGCAGATTGAGGCTTTCCTGCAGGTGACTTGGACAGTTCTTGCCACCCTGTGTCTCCCAGTTTCCAGGAAAGCCCTGTCCCCCCATGAAGCTGCACAACTTACGTTCTTGGCTGGTGTCACCCATCTGATGTCATACTTGTGGGAAGGAGCAATTACTCTGCAAGTGATTTTGAAGGGTTCACCCACGATCCGCACATGGTCTGTAGGGTCCATCATCACTGACACAGGCTTCTCAGGTCCTACACAAAGGCAAGCAGGGAAAGATTCAACATCAACTGGTCCAATGACCCCATGTGAGACTCCCCAGGGCCTGGCTACCTTCTTCTTTAGATTCTCTTCAGTTTCTTTACCCTCAGCCTTGGGATTGTAATATTGTTTTTGGACATGCCTGTAGGAAGCAGTACAGCTCAGGGAGAGCACAGAAGTCACTGTGAGTTGCAAGGGAAGGGGAACCTTCTGTAATGGATATATCCTAAGTATCAGGGCCTGAGGACTTGCAGAACGTCAGGGAGGTCAGTAGACATTTTCTCTTCTGTGATAGTGCCTGCAAAGTTTTGAATGCTGGTGAACCCATGGAAGGAGACAATTTGCCAGAAGCTAATGGAATTTTGCTTCCATTAAATCCCCTTTAAAGACTGCAAGCTCAGAAGATCTTTCCTACCACTGGCAAGGAGCTATTCCTTAGCTATCTACTATGGCCATCTTAGCTATTGCTGTCTCCCCAGGGACAGCAGCAACCCCAGTCATTTACCTTCTTTCACAAGCAGTCTTATTTTGGATGACTTCTCTATTTTTCCATTTACCACTGCTTGGCATCGGTAATAGCCCTTCTGCTTGCTTTGCACATTGTGAAGTGTTATTCCTTTCTCAGGACTGAAAGAATAGTTGGTCCCAGGTGAGAGATTAGAGCCATCATCCATTATCAGAGTCACACTGGATCCATACTCGGGGGCCGTGATGAGACAGGGGAATTCAGCATCATCACCTTTGGTCACAGAGATCCGTAAAATTGGGACAGACCAAACATTATTGGGATCTGTGGAGGAAAAGATATGCCAGAGAATGGGATCAGAAAATGCATTGAAGCTGAGGAACACATTCCAGCAAAGGCAAGTCTCCAGCATTGCTGCCCAGTGGGAGGCTGATGCTGAGGCAGCCCTGCTCAGTGCCTGCCTAACTCAGCCTCCAAAACCTCACACAAGCCCAATTTCAGCTAAGGTGTCTGAGGGGAGCACAGCCATCATCTCACAGATGTACACAGGCAAGAAAGACTGAGAAGTAAGCTTATCTCTCATTAAACTTGTCAAAGTTTCATTCATCAGACCACCAGCTTCCCTGTCCAGGACAGTAACTCTGGTACAAGGGAAGGGGTGAACTCAAATGGTGGAGCTACCACACCAAAACTTCTGGGGTAAAAGAATGTTTGGGGTCCAAGTCACATCATGAGGATGTGATTTATGTGACTTTTCCTTATCTGACAACACTGTTCTCTGATCTCCAGATCTCACTGCTCATTACAACACCAATCAGACTTTCATCCCTGTTGTGTTTTGTTGGTTTTTTTCTGGAAGGGAAGCCAAGGTAAACAGAGGGAGAGGTCCAGGCCATTCAGCTGTGCATGATATGTAGATGCTCTGCACTCTATCCCAGTGCTGCAGCCACTGGCCCCATTGTAGGTGGGCCTACGTGGCTGTGTGTGAGCCACTGTCCCAGTAGGAGCCTACACTGCTTCCCCAAACACACACACCACCACAGCCATAGAGAGGACCTGAGTAATGGCTGTGCTCTCTGGAAGGGGAAGTTCTGCCAGCATCTAAAGGAGGAGGGAAATCTGTGATTACCTCGCACAAACAGATGCACAGTTGCAATGTCTTTGTCACTGCTGTTGACATAAGCACACTTATAGGTGCCTGTATCTCTGTAAGTGGCCTTGGGAATGCTGAGTGTGCTGCTGGTGTGGTTGCTGAATGTATCCTTCCGACTTTCCCATTCGACCTTGGTCTCCCCTGAGCAGTACAAGATGACTGGATCACCCGTGTTGACAACCAGAGCAGGGAGATCAGGGCTGATAACTGGGGATGTCAAGCCTACAAAGGGAAAAGAGAAACAGTGAGAATGCAAAAATGATCCCTAATGATGCTCTGTTGGAGTTCACACTGTTAAGCATGAGGTAGCTCAGCATCAGGAAGAGGCTGGACTTGGGGTTCAAACTGGCTTTTTGGCTTGCATCACTCCAGCCATTCTCCATCCCACCAGACCAATACAGCCTGATAATACAAGGAATAAATTTCCAGGAAGACAGAAAACCTCACATGTGAACATGGGACAGAAAAAACCAATTATTTCCATTGGGTTTTACCTCTTGCAACAGTTTTCCTTTTGTGAAAGAGCTGGAGCTGAACTTGGTTAACCAGTACCACCATTTGCTGAAGTTTAAGCCAAGTCCAGTGGATGGGGCTCTCTGTTGCATTGGTGCTGTGATGAGCTTAGAACAGATCTGCAAAACTTCTGCAGGTCAGTGAAAGCCTTTTGGGAAGACTGGATTTCTGGTTGCTGGGCAGTGGATTTTGAGGGACACCTACTTATACCTTAACACAGAGTCAGTGTTTTCCTTGCAGATACCATCTATACATGATGAAGTAAGTGAGTTGCCATCATTATTCATATTGAGGGGTGGGAACTGAGGCACAGAAAAGCTAAATGGCTCATGAAAGCCCATGACTGCAGTTGTATGTAGAGAGCACCAGGCCATGGTGACACTGGCACTGCAGGCCAGATGGATTTCTGATGCCATCTCTACTTCGAGGACGGCTCCTCTGCTGGCTGAAGAAAGGGGAACCAAGGTCCTGCTCCAGCCCTTTGTGTCAGAAGGAAATATTTTTCCCGTTTTGTTGTGTCAGCGAGTTCTTTGAGTCACCACCTATATTTAGGGTGGGGGGAAGTGAGAAATGAATCAGTGCCGTGGGGCTAGGGAAGAAGTGGTACCACCACCCCCACGCCAGGCCTTCAGGGAGGACAGGAAACACATTGCAAATGGCTATCTGTGTTTGGGGGGCTCTGCATCCCCTCCAGCCCCTCTCAAGGGCTGTTCTCCCACTTCTGCTTTCCTTCCCAGTTGCTAACCCAACCTCACATCTTAAAGGGACACACACCCAGGTTCAAATAATATGAAGTGTAAAGGTAGCTGCCCAGCTTATCAATTCATTGCTCTTTGTAGAGGAGGTGATTGCAGGCAGCGTTGCTCTTGTGTGGTGGCAGCAAAAACAAGAGCTGAGTTTGGTCTTGTGATGCCTCAAACTCTGCAGCTGACTGCTCTGGACTCACAGGACCTCTTCAGTTAAAAGATTTGTTATCCAAATAAACATAAAACCCATAACTGAAAGGCTGAGGGAGCTGGGCCTCTTTAACTTGGAGAAGACTGAGAGGCAACCTCTTTAATGTTTACAAATATGTAAAGGGCAAGTGTCAGGAGAATGGAGCCAAGCTCTTCTCAGTGATGTCCAATGACAGGACAAGAGGCAACAGGTGCACACTGGAGCATAGGAGGTTCCATGTAAACATGAGGAAAACCTTTTCCACTGTGAGGATGACAGAGCACTGGAACAGGCTGTCCATAGAGGTTGTGAAGTCTCTTTCTCTGGAGACATTAAAAACCCACTTGGATGTGTTCCTGTGTGACCTACTCTAGGAGATCCTGCTCTGGCAGGGGCATTGGACTACATGGTCTTTTGAGGTCCCTTCCAACCCCTAAGATTCTGTGACCTTAACAGGAAGTGGGATAGGGCAGAGCATCCCATCATGGCACCATTAGTCCAGCTGCACTTGCATGTCCTTCAGAGGAAAGGGGAGTAGTGGCCAGATGCTACAGACTTTGCTGCAGGGATGAGAGAAGGGAAGGCTGCTTATGGTCATGGGTAGCAAAGACAGCTTAAAGAAAAGCTGTTCCTGGGTGCTGCTTTGGACACTGTAACATGTCCAGCAGAAGCAGGCACTCATCCTCACCCACCCCATTGGGTGAGGAAGACCATGTCCTAGGCTCAAACATGTGTCCTGGGATACCAGCTGTGCTCAGCTCTGTAACACCAGAGCTGTTCATCAGAGCTCAGAGAGCATCATTAAAACAGTCTTGGGCTGCTGCCTCCCTCTGTGCAATAAAGGGTTGAAACTACCAGGCTCAAGGCCCTGGAGAGCACTGTGGTGTGTGACAACCGTGAAGTTGTCCAGGGGAAACCCAAAAAAGGTCTGGATCAAACTCACTGGCCCTGCAGGAAGAAGCAGAGGACAGGGAGCTTCAGAGTATGGAATATTTGACATCTTATCTCCCTGGGGTTGTGTTTTGTTTTTTGTGATGCTCTTATCTTTCTGTGGAAAGAGGAAAAGCCTCATTTATTCCCAGAATGGAAAAAAACATAACCCAGAATCCTTTGCAAAGCCACATTTTCCACATATCTGAGGCACAACATTCCTCTCTTTTTGCCAAGCTGTTTTCTAGTGGGGCTTGACACATTTCTGTTGCTTTTACTTCTTTATCACTGAATGCTTTTCCCTCAGCTACTCTCTGCTTTAGCTATCCCTCCACATCCTCATTTAATGAGATAGGCAAGCTCTTCAGCTTAGAGCTCCATACAAACTGACTGAGGGAAAGATGATGTTGTAACTGGTCCTTGGTTTGGCCACAGCAGGAAGACAAGACAGACAAGAGCCATGTCACTCTGTGTCCTCATTGTTCAGTTACTCCTGAGATGCTATGGCCAGAAAAGGCCCCGGGCAGGTGCTCTCCATAACGGTGAGGAAGCCAGCAGCCTCCAGGCTATCACTGGAGACTCCTGTCAACAGCACAACCACCACAAAGTGGAGTGAGGATACATGGGGAGGAGACACTAAATGTAGTGTCTCCTACAATGCCAGGTGAAAAGGCCACCCAAGCATCCACACTGTGTGCTGGGGGATGAGTCAGACCAGCAGGTCCTTTTCCAGAATGGGGAAACAGGGCTGCTGGGGGAGGCTTTCTCCCTGCTGACCAGTGTGCAATCTTGCATGAAGCCCAGGGATGTCTCTGCTGCTCTCCAGCAGCTTCCGCAGCACTGCCAGTAACTGCTGGCCAAAGGTTTTACCACACTTGGGTTGTGTAACCATGACCTCTAGTTACAGCTGCAGGCTCTGTCCCTACCTCTCCCATGCCAGCCAAAACATTGCTTTAGTTTGCTGAGGGTTTGGAAATGGTGAAGGAGGAGAAATAAAAGTCTAGTAAGACAGAGGGGCTCAATGACCTTACCACAGAAGCCAGTTATCAGGACCTTGGCTTCATTCTGGAAGATTATGAGGCTGAGGTCTAGCCTTGGGAGGTACCCATACCATCCCGAGTTCCCCTTGCTCCCCCCTCAATGATGGGAGGGAAAAAGCTTGGTTTTCGGGACACCATTCCCAGAATCACCTCCAGTATCTGGGGGAGGCAGGAGGTGGGGAAAAGGGTGCTTGTCTTATCTCTTCCTTGGGGCTTCCACCTCAGAGCTTTAGATTCATCCACTACAAGAAAACAGAAGAAACCTTGGGAAGAACTCTCAAGATGGCCAAAAACACAGATCTTGGCACTCCCCCAGCAGGAGTCCAAATTGCAATGGTCATACCATGTCAGCCCTAAATACTCTCAGAAGATGAACTTGCAATTCAAGAGGTAGGAGAAGTCAGGTTCTGGCTCCAGCTTGAAGCTATTGGTTTGGACAACCTTGGCTTGCTTCAGCTTTGTGCTGCAGGTGGCCAAATGTGGTGGTACTCAGACAAATGAATGTCTAACACACTGACGTGGCCAACAGCACCTGATGGGGATGTCCCAGAGCCTCAAGAAATTTTCAGAGAGATCCTGACAAATACCATTATAATCTCTTATAAGTCTACATCAGACCTGCCTAGTCTCTATTAACTTAAAAAAAAAAACAACACAAGAAATTAAAAACCCTACAGCCTTTTCAACCCAGCCCCCAGCATAGAAGACCTGGGAAAAGCCTGCTCAGGATGACTTCAAGCAAAACCCTGTGCAGTTCAACAGGGCTGAAAATACAAACACAGCAGTGGCTCAAGAGAAACACATTCCCTCCCTGCTACAGGCTGAATTCCTTCCTCACTACATTTCCCTCTTCCAGGGGGGACTTCACACCTGAGTCTGCTTGCATGGGGAGCAAGCTTAAAAGGATAATGAAAGAAAGTGTCACATAAGATCTGAGAGGCTGTCAAGCACTTAAGATGTGAGATTAGCAATACTGGTTTCTGTCTGGTTGCAAACCTCAAAACAGGCTTAGTGACTCTTTCTTGAGGTTGATGGGTTATCACTCATGGCCATTTCTGCAGCCTCAAAAACCAGGTGCATTCAACCTTTCCCTCCTTGGCTCCCTGAGTTCTGTTTCCATCACAAGGTTTAACAGTTGTTGCATATGCCAGCACCATCAGAAAACAGCAACCCTTAGACTTCTGCAGCCAGGCAACCAACCTTCTCTGTCACCTGCAGGCCAAGTGTCTCCAGTTTTTGCCCCATTTGGGTAAAGAGTTATTTCAGAGACAGCTTCCCTTGCTGAACCTCTCCTTCCTCCTAGCTCCTGCCCACACCAAAAGACTGGGAAGTTTCCTTTTCCTATCTCCCTACTGTCAAGGCTCTTCCTATGCTACATGCACCTTTCCATACCCTTGGCCTTATCCTGGCAGTGCTGCAGGCAGCCAAGAGAGCAAGACCCCAGCACCACTGGCTCCAGAGCCAACACAGACTAGCAACACACCCTCTTTCCACCACTGTCATCCCTCTGTAATGACAGCCAGTTCTGGATGATCTTCAAAAAGCTGCTACAGCCAAATCTGCACTAAAAGCCAAGTTGGTGTCTCCTCCCTGCTGTGCCATGGAGGAGACACACCCTCTTGCCTGCTGTCTGCCCATGCTGAGGCACCTCAAACCTGCCCACAGTAGCACCAGCTGCCTCATGAAGCAACTTCCAGAAGCTGGGACCAGCCCAGCCCACAGAAGGCTTCTGGCAGACACTACGGGAAGCCCAGCTTCACTCTCCACCACCAGGAACCAAGTGCCCATTAGTCCAACTTGAGCATTACCCCATTCCCTGCACCACCAAGGCTAGCACCCCTCCCTGCTCAAGGAGGAAGAGAGCACTGACATTTGACAATCCCAAGAAACCCCATCCCACGTTCCAAACCCACCTCAGGGTGACACTGTGGGGCTTTGGGGTAGGGGGCAGTGGACCTACCTTGCCAGACACCAGCTGCAGTGAGCAGCAGGAGGAGAGCAGGACCCATGTCCCCGGGGACTGTGGTGACCCCAGCGTGGAGCAGGGACGCGACCGAAGGATTGTCTCGAGCAGCAGGCGCCTCTCCCCGTGGGCACTGTCCCCAGCGCTTCCCTCAGCAGGAGCTTCTCCTTTCCGAGTTGACCACAAGTTAAGAAATTCCCTTTTTTTTTTGGTTTGTTTGTTTTTGAAATGGAAGGGGGGGGGAAAAAAACACAAGGCGCAAGGCTTTGAGACGTCATGGGTGACAAACCCCCCCGGCAGAGGGGGGCCCGTGCACGTGCCCTGCTGCAGGGCCACCCTCCCGCCACAGACCCTGCCTCAGAGAGGGGTTCAGCCCCCAGACTGCTCCCCAGGACCGTCAGGGGCAACTGCACCATAAAATGGTTGGGGTTGGAAGGGACCTTAAAGATCATCTAGTTCCGATGCCCCTGCATGGGCTGGGAGCTCAGAACAACCCCCATCTGCCCTGGCTGCTTCCACCCAGACCCCCAGAAACTGCTGCACACTTGCTTGGGGTCACAAAGAGCCAGGCTGGGACCTGCTGGCAGCAGGGACTCCCCCTTTACCTCAGCAGGATGGGCTTTACCTCGGTGGCTGTTGCTGGGGCAGGTCCCGGGGCCCACACGGGCAAACAGCCGGCACCCCCCAGGCCCGCAGAGGCGGCTCAGCCCGGGGCAGCTCCCAGGGGGGGAAAAGGCCCGCGAAGGTGACAAATGAGGTTGTTTTAACCAAGAGTGTGAGCCCTGGTGCTGAGAGGGGTTCTGGGGCCAGGCAGGATCTCCCTGCAGCCCCACTCCAGCCCCAGGGCTGATCCACCAGCTGTAAACTCACCCGCGCTGTCCTTCCCAGCAGGGAGACACGTTCGGTCCGGCCTGCGAAGCCTTCCCTGTCCCCAGCTGGGCTGGGGGACACGCAGGGACCCCGGGGCTCCTCCTCCCCCAGGACCTGCCACCGAAGGCTCACAGCAACCCTCTCGCCATCAGGCACCTGCTCCTGGGGAGGCCTTTCCAAGCTGTTTTCTAATTGACAGCGTGGCAGGCACCTGGGAGCAGTAATTAGGCACCTGGTGAACCCTCCCCGGGACTGCTCCTCTCCCAAGGCAGGGGTGAGGGCCTCAAGCAGAACAGCTCTGCTGGGGACACTCCTGTCAGCAAGGTGTTTGCAGCTCAGGCACAGGGAGCCCCCGGCTCTCTGCTCTGGGTAACCTCAGGCTGCAGCAGAAGTTCATGGCGGTTCAGGGCAGCTCTGGGGTGGGAAGTTACAGCCACCCTCTGGGAAGCACGGTGGGGAAGGTCCAGCCTGGGGCAAGTGGGAAGGCTCTGGCTTAGCTGGACCCAGCTGCAGCCCCACCAGCAAGGAGCTGGCAGGGATGCTGGCTGCCAAACCTGGGCAGGAAGAGATGGGCTCTTCCAAAACGCCTGCATAAACGGCTGTTGAATCTGCACGTGCAATGCAAAGGTGCCAGGCAGAGGGTCTCCACAAACAGGAGGGGAACTGGCTTCTCTGAAGGGGATAATCAGCAAGGTACCAGCAAGACCAGGTCTTGGGGCCAAGAGATGAGAGCACGACTGACTTTGCTGGAGATGACTAAAAGTCATGGGAACATGGAGGGAGTCTTGGTTTTGGCCAGAAGGATGGCTGGAGAGTATGAGGGAGTCCAGAGAGAAGGAAAGGCAGCTTTTGGCTGGAGAAGATTTCCTCTCAGCAGTTTTTCCTGGCAGGATGTGGGGAAGATGAACATGTAGGAGAGGCAGTGTGATGTGCTGGGGGGGCTCCCACCCAGACCTGGGGTGCTGTCAAGTGGCTGGGCCACAGGAGATGTCTGCCTGATTATTCTTTCCTCCTTTTGAGCCAAAGGGGCTTTTTAAAGGATGTTTGTTTCCGCAGGAAGAGATGGGCTCTTCCAAAACGCCTGCACAAACGGCTGTTGAATCTGCACGTGCAATGCAAAGGTGCCAGGCAGAGGGTCTCCACAAACAGGAGGGGAACTGGCTTCTCTGAAGGGGACAATCAGCAAGGTACCAGCAAGACCAGGTCTTGGGGCCAAGAGATGAGAGCACGACTGACTTTGCTGGAGATGACTAAAAGTCATGGGAACATGGAGGGAGTCTTGGTTTTGGCCAGAAGGATGGCTGGAGAGTATGAGGGAGTCCAGAGAGAAGGAAAGGCAGCTTTTGGCTGGAGAAGATTTCCTCTCAGCAGTTTTTCCTGGCAGGATGTGGGGAAGATGAACATGTAGGAGAGGCAGTGTGATGTGCTGGGGGGGCTCCCACCCAGACCTGGGGTGCTGTCAAGTGGCTGGGCCACAGGAGATGTCTGCCTGATTATTCTTTCCTCCTTTTGAGCCAAAGGGGCTTTTTAAAGGATGTTTGTTTCCCTCCTTCTTCTTTTTTTTTTTTTTTTTTTTTTTTTTTTTTTTTCCAGGAACAAATGCCAGCTCAGAGAGAACTGACTCACCAATGTGAACAAGTATTAAACCAGGCAGGTTTAATACAAAGAAGGGAAACAGTATCTCAGCCTCCCTTCTTCTCTTTTGAGGAGGCATCTTGCAGAGTGTCTCTCATGGCAGTGTCCACAGCCTGTACACACAGGTTCCCAGGCTGGGCTGGATACACTTGGGGATGCTCAGTAGAACCAGCTGCCTGCTGAGGTTCCTCTCCCATTGGTGGCCATCTCTCCTGCCTGCAGGCTGCATCCCAAATCCTGTGGTTGCAAGCTCAGCTACAGGAGTGCTGCTGGGCTTGCGTGCTTGAACAGCTCTGAGCAAGGGATAGGGGTGCTTAGAGGAACTGCAACCTTTCTTTGAGTCACTTAAACCCCAGGATTGGGCAGTGGGAGCCTGTTGGGTTCAGAGATGAGGTCTACCAATTCCTCCTCCTTGCCTCCCCAAGCCCTTACTGCAGTCTCTCTGGAGCCAAGGTGATTTTTCCTCTGCTGATTCAGCTCCTGGAATAAAATGCCGTGTCTGCCTGTCATGGCTGAGCCATGCCAGGTGATTCAGAGCATATCTGGGGAACATCAGCCTGAGTTGGCCAAGGACCCTGCAAACCTCCTCTCTGCAAACTGAGCAAAGACAGGAGCCCAGGACAGGCCGTGCTGGAGAGAGGAGCCTTGCTGGGACTTGGACCTGTCTCTTGCTGCAGCTGGTGTCTTGAGCCCTTGGGTACACCAGGGGTTTCCAGGAGCTGAGAGAAGCACTACTGTGGTCAGCAAGGATTTGCACCGAGGCTGCATCATGCAGCCTGAAAACAGGGTCAACGTTGATACATTTGAACCTCAGTTCAAAATCCCCTCTTTGCAGCAACCCTTGGCTTTCCAAGCATGTGGCTCAGAGCTGGCTGCAAACAGCTCCATTCAGCAGCCTGGGGTGGTTTTCAGGAGGAGCAGCTTCCTTGGAGCCAGAGGGAGGAGAAAGTTTTGGGCTCGACTCAGGAGGTGCCTGACTGTCATGGGGCTGGAGGACCCCAGCACTTCTGGACAGGTGACTGGAGAAAGGTGAGGGAACAGGAAGAAAGCAGGGGGACCCAGTGGAATGTTAAGATGGGGAGGCAGGATTTTGGGGTTGCATCTTTAAAAGGTATCAGGGAATTTCTGATCCCAGAGGGAGGGGAGGAGACCCCAGCTTAGAGCAGAGCTGGACATGGGGACCCCTGTGCACCCTAGTGTGGCTCCTGTAGGTGCCCTGCCCCATTGCTATAATCTTCAGTCTCTCCCACTGCCCTGAGCTATTAAACTATATGGAAAAATCAACAACCTTGTGCTGTCTCCCATCTCCTTCAGCCCAGCACCCTCATCCCTACCCTGATCTGAGCACAGACCCAGTGACGTTCCCAAGGAGCCTTGTTTGTGGCCACTGGCCCAAACCTCAGGTACTGGAGATAGAGATGGGAACTGTTCCTTGCATCCTTCCTCTTACCTACCACCTCCCAGTTCAACACCACCCACAAGCTGGCCAGTGACCAGAGCCCCTTTTCCTTACCATGTCTCTGGGCTCAGCTGTTTTCTTGCTGTGCTTCTCTCTGCCTGGCTCCCAGCTTGGCTTTCCCTGGGGTCACGCAGAGCGTATTAACGTGCTTAGCCTTCACCCACCACATGGTTAAGCTGTATTCCCAGCCCCATCTATGCAGGAGCAACAAAAACCAGGCAAACAGAGGAAGAGGTGAAACTTTGCAAAAAGAAAAACACCTTTATTTTTTTTAAACTCTTTCTTTAAAAACATATTTGTAAAAGTTTACGGCATAAAAATAATATCTCATGGCTATAGATGTGACATAGTACAAATCCTAAAATACATCTGTAAACCTAGGAAAATGTTAACTCTTTGGTACCTTCATCTGAACTCTGTTTTTTCTTCTGCCTTCAGGGTGGTTTCTGACAGACAGCAGGGAGGCAGGTGCTGCTTCTGTTCAGAGATGCTGCAGAATAACAGCATGGTGCCAGCAGGCCAGCACAGCAGGAGTGGGAGAGGGCAGAGGGCAAGCTTTGGGTCAGCTTTGCAGGTCTGGTGCAATCCATGAAGGAGGAAAGGACAGGAGTGATGGGATACTGCAGGTCTCCCAGCACAAGCTGTCTTCCCTGCTTCCTCCCCTGTAAGTCATCTCCAAAGTGCTGCTGGAGCAGTTCACCTGCCTTTTCCAAATTCAACAGGATCCATCTTGGCATGCCCCAGAGGCTTCAGCCATCTGGCTGAAACACAGGAATGATACTGTGAGCCCAGCTACCCATGTACTGACCCTGGAAATCTGATTTTTTAACAATATCTGGCCTGCCCTGTGCAAGTCCTGCAGACAACATGGTGCCTTAACCACTGCAGTCAGCCCTGACTCCTTAGTATCCCAGCAGGGCTGGGATATGCTGCAGGAAGGACCTGTTCCCAGCGCAAGAGCTGCCCTGTGAGGACCTGCAGCTGCTCTGGTTGCTCTCTGCCTGTGCAACCACCCAGGGCAAAGGCTGCCAAAAGGCTACTGAGAGCTGCCAGTAGGCAACCTTCATGGTCTCCAAGTGAGA